TCAGCGCAGTGGCCGACGGTCCATGCGTTGCCACAGATGAAGAGGAGGCCCTCGGCCAACCTATGGGCCTTACTCCGCCACCTCCTTACTCCTTACTCCTGTGGGCCTCCCTTAGGTACTCCTGTGGGCCTCCTGGGGGCTCAAACGCGGAGAAGAGCACCAGCCAGCAATCGCCGAGCTATGGCTCCGAGATCGGACGGGTCTTCGAGCTCCCTTGACAACTGTCTGGCAATCAACATTCACTGGATTGCCTGGTGGCGAATCGAGGGACTTTGCCTGTGAGAAATCGAGCCGCTTTTCAGAACGCGGAGTTTGAAGTAGGCAATTTGGTACGGGTCTTTCCAAGTTTCTGATGAAGCTTCCAGCCTCATCTGTCTCCACTGCCGTCCAGCCCGCTCGGGCGACCCTTGATTTAAACTTCCGTCGAAGCAACTCCTGTCAATGAAGTGCGAGAATCAGGGGGCTGGGACAAAGGGGACAACAATTCTTCAAACTTAGGATATGTGACCGACGTTTCATCTGGCTTGGCAGTCAGCTCGGGTTGTCGAATCCAGAGATGGGTGAGCAAAGGGTCGCGCTCGCCATTGTTTAATGCTATGGCTGCAATTTCATCATCACTTGCTTCTCGTTCAGCATCGAAGCGGGGGTACTGCAAGCAACGATGAAGCATGGTGCCCAGAGCTCCGCAATGCAGGCAATTGCCTGGAGTGTCGTACTCCCATTTCGCGAGATTTACATTGGTCACATAACCGTTATTGAACATTGCCTTGAAGAGTCTCTTTTGTCCAGCTGTCAAACACTTACCCGAGATCAGGCGACGAGGAGGGATGTTCCAGAGCCCATTTCTCAAGACGTCACGGCCCGCTCGTTTCGGGTATCGCTTAGCTTGACGGTAAAGGCGTGCTGGAGGTAGACCGGTCTCAGATCAGTTAATAAAGCATTCAGTGACAAAGATGGGGTCGAAGCCAGCCAGCTCATATTTACATCCATCTCTTCCTATGCAGATGCGTGGATGCTCATGCTCCCAACCTGCTTCGCGCATTCACAGGTGCATGTCGGACAGTGCCCCCGTGGATCTGTCCAGGTGTGGTGAGGGTGGTACTGAAGGCTCTGCTGAGCTCCCCAACACCCATACCGTCCCCTTGTTCAAGGGCCTCGTTTCAGGCTTGCCACCATTTTTTCAGTACCACTTCAAAGTACAGGTCGCCAGTTTCAGGGAGTCACGCTCGGAAAACAGTTGCCATCCCAGCTCCTTGATACTAGACGCTGGCAGTCCCAAAGCACGAGCCTGACCTGCGCATGAGTCTGATCGCTTGTGGTTGAATCCTGGCACTTCTCCGTACGTGGCTGGAGGCATCACCCAGCACAAAAACACGTCCGCTCTGGAGAAGATCAACTCCTTGAGTCGGTTGACTTTCTCCACCTTCTTGGAAGCCGCTTCAAAACCGCTTCCTCCTGACACCTCGAGATCATCTCTTTGACTTGTGCTTGCCCAAACTGAACTCACATCCGAGGGGATTGATCTAGTCTGTCCGGCCAGGCACTTGCGAAGCAGCCCTGGCCAGCTCCAATGACAAACCAGCGATAGCCAATTTCCCATCGGCCCAGGGAACTCCGAGCTCCTCGGTGACCAACTTACCTACAGTCACAGCTCTGATCCGCATGCAAGACGCACGCTCGCAAAAGCTCAGTTGCGCTCCCTTCGGCGTGGACTCGTCAACGTGGATGGTCAAGGCGCTGGTTGGGCTCGATCCCATCATTTCATCTGCCAATACCTGGAGTTATAAAAGCCTTGACCTCGTATGTCCTAGTTGACCTCCTATGTCCTCGCATGACCTCGTATGTCCTAGTTGAACCTCGTATGTCCTCGTATGGTCTCTGCCAATACCTGAAAGCGTTGACCTCGTATGTCCTTGTGACGTCCCCGCGACTATATTTCGCCACGGCCATACGGAGGAGGTGTCATGAGCCACACTCGCACTTATCGGGCGATTGCCTGAAGATAGCGATTGGACATTGCGCCTCCGTAGTTTACGATCACATGGTGTCGTGCTACACGTTCTAGTAGAACCATGATGACGGCACTCGTAGTTATCGAGCGAATGCCTCAAGATAGCGATTGGATATTGCGTTTCTGTAGCTTACGATCGCATGGTGTCGTGCTGCACGTTCTAGTAGAACTGGCGCAAAATCACACAAGACACTGAGCAAGTGGTCCCCGTGCTGTGCTAGTGCTTCTTCCCTGACGCTCTGGACCCAGACTTCATCCATCGGATCCCTGCCTGCAGCCATCGAACAGTGATCGACTCTCCAACTCCCGTTGCCAAGAACGAACCTCACACAGAATTGTGTCCTCCTCTTTCTCCTCCCTCCCCTTCCCCCCTCTTCTCCATCCCCTCCTCCTCCCCATCCTTCGCATCTTTCTCCTTCCTCCCCTGTCCATCCCTCTTCCTTTCACCTTGCACAGCCCCTCCCTGTCGCACCACCAGGCGTGTCGTTAGAGCGGGGGCCTGGCGTTTCGCCTGACACGTCCTCACCGTTTCCTATCTTGAAGTTGAACATCACCAGCAGTTATATCGATGGAGGGTGCGTGGTTTAAAGAGTGGGGCTCTCGCCTTCACGCAGGGAGCGCTTGTATTCAATCATCCAAGCAGTGACTACGCGGATGGAGCGCGTGTGGTTTTTCAAAAATGGGGCTCCGGCCATG